TAAAACGTATTGTAGCCACCTACGCCGCGGTGACGTGGTGGACCACAGGAAAGAAACACAAGGATGCACTTGAGTTTGTTCAGAACCTAATCTATCTGTAGCAAATATTGTAGTATAATTCCTAGGCCAATGACCCCATCACGATCAGGTTTTTGTTCGGTTTTCCTGGTCTCTTGAGCAAATGCTGAGATGGCCCCTTGGGTTGATCCGGAGTTTAGGGCAGTTTAGTGAACTGAATCAGTGAACCAAAGGAACCGTGCCACCCTAAACCCCGAATCAACCAAAAATTTGCATTTGCCAGCCATACGGCCCAATTAAAACAACAAATTAGTTTTTTATCAAATGTATTGGTTTTAGTTCGTAACCTGATTAATTTCCATCCAGTATGGTATTCTTTCGTAAGTTTCAGACAACTTGAGAGCTTACAAGCCATTGTTTGATAAAAGTAGTGCGCAAAAGTGTCACATCCGTAATATACAAAGTCTGAAAAATTTGGGGTATTATTTCTGCATTAGATTTTTCAAATATGTTTTCATTACGTGTGAATGTCAATAGTTGTATCAATAATGTAATGTGTGTGTCATTCATAGGAATGTAATGTCAGTAATATTAGATTCTTTTTCTGTACCTGTGTTCTAATGCTCTGTAATATTATGTAAAATTGTCTTCAGAATATATTTTATAAATACTATAAACAAACATGTTTGTTTTTTGATAATTGCCATAATATTCTTCCCCACCCTAATTATTTTGTTATAATAATAATAATAATAATAATAATAATAATAATAATAATAATAATAATAATAATAATAATATTTTAGTCACATATACAATTAAAATCGTGTATGACGAGTCAATTTGATGTCTTGGGTGGAGAGAACGAAGTTACATTACTGTTCAGGAGCGAAACAAGGGGCGGTTGATCCGCAGTTTAGGGTGCCACCGGTGCATTTGGTTTACTGATTCGGTTCACTAGTTCTCGTGATTCACGAGATTATAGTTGTGCGGTTCACTTCAATCACTAGAAAATAATCTTGCTGGCATTGATTAATTTTCTTAAATCAAAGCATAAATATATAGACAATTTGACTATGCCTAATAAAGCTATACATTTTGCTATTACGAAACATTTTTTTTTTCATGACGACACATTTTAAATTTCAATTCGCATCTAAAATTTCACTTCACAACACTCTTTCAAAGCACAAAATAAGATTTTAGCTTGCTGGTTGAAATGGATTATAAATATATAGACTTGATCTTACGAGCACATCCTTATAACATGAAAAACTTCAATGATTCATCAACGTATCACCAAATCTGCTTGTATCTGAAGAAAAACAAACAAACAAACACTTTATAAACAGAAGTTCCCTCTTGGGATAAATCATAAATAAACTCAGCATTCATACCTTCCACTTAGGTCACAAACCTACTAGAAAAGGGGTGGAAAAGACACGACAATAAATTCTTCAGAAACTTGTACGTAATATCTTATTAGATTTTATAATAATTTAGTTGTTATAGTAAAAACTAAATGTGTTAAAAGAAGGCTATTTATTTACCAACCCAGGTCTATATTTATATTTCAGTTCAAGCAGCAAGCAAATTCACATTTTGACTTTTTTAAATTGAATTTTACATGAGAATTGATATTTTAAATGTATCCTGATGAAGAAATGTTTCGTAATAGCAAAATGTATAGTTTTTTATGGCTTTGACCCGAAGTCATGTACATATTTATGCTTTGGCCTAAGAAAATTAATCAATGCCAGCAAAATTATTCTCGAACATTCAACCAGTGATACAAGTGAACCGCGCCTCTATAATTTTGGGAATCACGAGAAATAATGAATCATAGGAGGAACCAGGAACCAAAGAAACCGTGCCACCGTGCCAACCCGGGATTAACCGCATTTGAAATTACGTAGTATGAACTTTAAAATAGATGCCGCTACATGAAAACGAGGGAGCAGGCAGGGGCTCCTAGCTTCATAAGGGCTGGGCCTGGCAAGATTAGTTGGGATTCCGCCCGTCGGGAAGCCCTGCAGTCGCAGTGTTAGAAAGAGAAAGCGAATATTAAACAGAGAGAGAGAGAGAGAATCCGAATGACACGAATGCAACCGAGAATAAACGAGTGTTTCCGAAGACATCGATGTCCGCGGAGGGCGGTATTTATGTTATTAAACCATTATTAAAGCCAGCCTAATACGTACGAAAATTCGTCAATTTATTATATAATGTAGAGCAAGATGTCTTGTGTTTGTTTCCAGATGTCTACCTATTGCGTATGTCACATATTCTTTAAATCATTAGAAAAATGATTGGATGAAAACTCGTTCCACAGATTCCCTTCCGAAAAGACAAGGCATTGTCCTGCTAAAATGGAGGGAATTTGCAGGGATCCCAGATGGCGAAAGGATCCGTGACAGGCGTATATGCAGTGCGCATTTCAGGGCTGAGGATTTCATTGCTGTTGCCCCCAAAAGGAGACTGCGATGTAGTGCAGTTCCGTGTTTACATGAGTATATTTTCATTTATCCTTTTAAAAATATAGATAATCACAGGTTTCGAAATGAAAAAAATTGTAGTCTTTTGGATGTGCTCCAAATCGCTGCCAATCATATTCGAGCTTTAGAACCACATCAACATTTGGTTTGAATTCTTTCACTGAGATAATATTAAACTGTTGATTTATTTTGTAGAAGATTCTGCAAGATTGGCTACAGCAATGGAATCCATTACATCAGTCCCACAAATATTAGGTAACTTTATTTGAAGTGAGATATATGTTTTGTATATTTTTTTAAAATGAAAATTAATTTTTATTCTCACTGAGCAACAGCTCTTGCTGATCCGCCTGTGCCCGTCTCGGAAGGGGAGGAAGAGATTGTAGCATCCAGTACATCAGGGAAATGGGCCACTTCTCCCCCGCCTGAAGTCACAACGCCATCTGGGAAATGGCAAGTGCATGATCCTCAGACAGAACCATCAACCCCAAGCTCTCAGTCTCGCTTACAAAGTGGTGAGATTCTTATATGTTTGACCCTGGAGCCTAATTTATTTGTTCTTTAGTTATAACTTGTACACCATGGTATTTATGCTGGTTTTATCAGAGAAATGTTGCATCATTTTTGTAAAAATTCAGACAAATGTTACATTTACAACAGAAATACAAGTACACTAGGTTTTACTTCGTTGTGTTCTGTTGCTTGAGATAGCTAGTTTCTATCTGATTTTAAGAGAAAAATGCTTGTATTGAGAATTACATTTTTAAAGGTTTCAGGGTCATTTGTAATGTATTTGCTGACAAACTTGACAAATTTCCCCCTAATTTATTGTTGATTCTAAATTTGTCTTGTGCTTAAGTTTCATTTGTTTTGTTCTTTTGTGTATTGTTTTGATATAGAAGTGGTAGCACAAGCCCTGGATATAAGGTTGCATTCTAGTGGTAGTTGCACTTAAAACACTGCACATAAAATGGATGTTATTTTTCATCCTTTTGTAGGGTGCAAAACAATGAGAGGCTTATCACTTGCAGTAATACTAATATTAACTTTTTGTTAATAATTAATTACTGCTGCCATTTAATTATAATTTATTAATATATTGTATAAATTGCATTTAATGATAATCACAATTACTTCAGCTCCACTTACTATCTGGAAGCAAATTACAACTTGGCATTCTCTTTGAGATTTGCTAGGAATTGGAATATTGGAATAATGAAGAGAAGAACACAGTAGCTTAAAAATATTTTCAAAATTTACTTAAATGTCATTATTAAATTCTTGGACTCCAATTCAATAAACAATGAAAATTGGAAATTATTAGTGCAACAGTCATTCCATCTTAGACATTTAAATTATGAAATAAATTAATAAGATAATTTTGTGTAAAATAATTTGGAAAATATATGTGAAAAGGAAGAATAGACTAATGTACGAAACTAAAAAGGTACTTCCATTCCAAACTCTTATCGTTTTAGATATTAATCTATTGCACTTTGTGTAATACAACCAAGCTTCTGACATTCTAAAAATAATGGTGCATATGAAAAGATTATTCATTTTTCAAATTTGTACCGTGTATTAAATTTATAATTCTTTTAAAGAATTGTTTGTTTTACATTGCTTTTCCATTAAAATGTTTTGTGAAGCACTATTATTATTAAAGAAGAACTTCAAAGATAGGCTTGAAACCATGTAACATTAATTGCTATTGCTTAGCAGTGAAATAGAGAGCTGCCTTTTTGCTTGCTTGTAATGTCTTCGACAGTAAAGTTTGTCGGATGATAGTAATTAAATGATATATTATTAATTTTTGGAAATCAATATTGTCATGTTCAACTAGTTATTTTATTGCAATTTTATAAGTAATATCTTTGCAATGCTTGGAAGCACAATACAGTTAAACATAATTGAAATATCAATACTATAAATTTTTGATATCATGAAGCAGTTTTCATTCACCTCAGTAGTTCGTAATAGCAAGTGGATTTGTAATCACTTCAATATGATTGATGAAAGAGATTTCTCTCCAGTGGCACTTTAAGATCAAGTATTTTCATAATAGATATTATTTTGATTTATTGAAGTAACTACATGATTGTTGTGAATTTATGATGTTTTGCTATTATTTCAAAATCCAATATTTACCATATTGTATTACTTGGAGAATTTGTATATCTCTTCTAGAAAATTTACCATTGTTTTTCCAATTTAATTTTAATAAATCTGTCATTTCATTTCATTATTGAGTTGTTTGTTATCCTGGTCATTTCTATGCCAGTATATATCCTACATTTCCTAGTGAATCCTAGAATTAATTGTAAATTACTCTAAAAGGAATGTACAAAAAAATACTGTGCTTCTAATTGGTGGAAATATTATCCCCACCATGGTACGGTTCCCCACCACCACTTAGTTTAATTGGGATTCCGCCCGTTCGAGCGCAGCACTAACGCTAGTCGCGATAATTAACACACAGTTCGGTAGCCCTGAGGAGCACTTTTCTGTGCTAATCTGCGCGCTTGCGCTCGCGTTTATGTGACGCAATGGGACGTTTCGCCGGCCTTTACGATTGTATTGTGTTGCTCGTCAAAAATTTAATTTTTCCTTGTGGCAATTTATGCCAAAATAGTTATTACTGTTAAGTAAAATAAGATAAGTATTCGGAATTTTCTTCATCGAATTCCTTCCATCGAAACTTGTTACATCAAGGTTACAAGGCGATTGAACTCCTAATAGATGAGTTTTGAATTAGCAAGTCTAGTTTTCCTGATGAGCTGAAATGATACGTTCTGGATTGTAGAATGCTCAGAGTTGTAAGAAACGATTCCATGGACTTATATGATTAGAGTTTTGACGAATAACTATGAATGACAAGGCTGAAAATCAAACTCTTCTAAAAAAGCAATATCTTTCGGAAAATCAAGCCTATCGTGGTGACGGGGGATCTAGTTCTGGAGAGGACTCCTGCCATTCAGAAGGATGGTGGGTAGGTTCAGAGACAGGCTCGAGTTGCAGTTCATGCTGTTCAGATTCCCAGTCAGATGAAGGGTGTGTATCATGAAACGTAAATACTTAGCAAATTAGTTCAGATATTAGTATTTTCTTTCACTTTGCAGGTCTGTTGCGGATTGGGAATCAGAGGTAGATGCAAACGGTAATCTTTTTTTCATTCAATCACCACCAGAGTCTGAACTACAAAAGTATTCCCAGTCTGTTGTGGAGGAAATTATAACTGAAGTGCCTCGTGGTGCTCCTGAAGGTCATCCATCACGTAAAGGTTTACAAATATTTATAAATATATATAGTAGTTATATATTTATATAGTAGATACCAGAGTATTATTTGAATTTCAACTAATTTAGTCGCAACACTTTATTAAAACATATTACATTTCAGGGAAATTGGCTGGACTTATTAAAAGGCGGAATAGTAAACGATACCGTCATAAAAGCAATGCAAATGCCTTAGTCAGCCAAAATAATACTAATAACAATCTGGATGAAACTCCTCAGCTATCAGTTGCTGCTGCAAGTAGTACATCATCCTGCAGTGTATCACCCACTTCTCAGGTATCTGCTAATTGTTAGCTTATTTAATAATTTTTTTTAAAAAGATTTGTATGCTTAGTCACAGGCATATTTTATTAATACTTAATTAATGCCTAATTTTCTTCCTTAGCAGTCTTCCTGAAAGTTCAGATTTCCCCCCTCACCTTCCCCCCATTTCTTGATTTCGTGGTTATTTATTTCAAATCTCCATTTTTGGGTTTCTACCTACTTGTTAACATATTCAGTATCTTGATCTTCAGTCATAATAGGTGCTCACCTGTGCATCAGCAAAATGAGATTGTTTTGTATCCAATGGTGTCTGCCACATTTTTACATTTTAAAGGCTATCCTTCACCTTATGGGCTTATACTTTAAAACTGATTTAGGAAATCTTTTCGCTTGCATTCTTCACACATGTGAAAGTTAGCTTCTCTGGTTTTCTTTAATTTTCATCCACTATATTTTTTGCTTTGAGTTTTTTTCCTGATTTCAGGTTTCATTACCAATCTATATGTGTAATTCCTACTAGGTCCTGAAAAAATTTCATTCATATCATGTGGCTTTTAATCTCTTTGTTTTAGGATCCATATTTCTGATCCATACATCAACATTGGATAAGATGTTATGTTGTGTATTCTTTGTTTTGTCTCTGCTGTCATATCTATTCAAAAGTTTTTCTTGATTATTTCATTTATCCTATTAAATTTTTGAATTTTTCTTTCTTGAATTTCTGAATTTTGTCCAATGATGTTTCTTAGATACATACATTTTGCTACTTGTTCTATAATTTTACCATCTATAAAATTTTAACACTTCTCATATCTTTGGCTTGGAATGCCATAGCTTTAGTCTTATTTGCCGAGATTTTCATGTCGTATGTAAGGGCTAGTTTATGAAGTTCTTTTGCTGCCCCCAGTAAGTCATTGTTAGGATCATGTCCTGTACATATAGAATCATTTGTACCATTTGTCTTTTGTTTACATTTATACCGGTTTTCACTATTTTTTTCCACTTTGTGATCATGTGGTTTGTGTTGAAATGACGCCTTTGGGCATTCTATTATTAAACAGTTATGGTGATAGCCCATACCCATGTCTCAGTCCTCTGGTTGTTCTCAAAATCTCTGTATTGATTCCATCATTCATTCTTAGTTTAATCTGAGAGACTGTGTACAGATTCTGGATTTCTTTTATTATGTCTGTAATTATCTCTTTATCTTCCAGTATTTCCCACATTTTGTTTCTGTTCGTGCTGTTGTTGGCTTTCTCAGAGAAGTTTTCTGAGTACTGCACTCAGAGTTCAGTGTCTCCCTTTTTAAAGAGGAGGGAAGTTGGAAGGTTAACTTTATTTTGTTTGTTCAGGAGTGTGTATACTATGAAAATAGCATCTTTTGTACTACTGCCCTTTCTAAATTTTTTTTGTTCTTCTCCCAGGAATTTTTCGCTTTATTCATTTAATTTAGTTTTTAAGATAATAGCAAAACGTTTGATACTGGGTACAGGAAAGTAATCCCTCTATGGTTGATTCAATCTGTTTTCAATTCTTTCTTGTGTTAATTTGTCACTATACTTATACTTTTTAAAGTGGTCGATGACATTATGTTATTGTTACACCTTTTCACAATACTTGCACATTGCCGAGACCACGAGCCACTTGCCACTTTGAAAAGGACGTTTGCGAATTAATTAAAAATCTTCATTTTCAAAGGCAGAAGATATAACAATGACCTAATGCCATCAACCATTTTAAAAATAACGAAGTATATCTGCTACTCTCTTGAAAGTGAATACTTTTCGCAAGCTTTGTTAATTAATTTTGTTAAGGTATTCTTGAGATCGGTTCTTCTGTATTTTAGAACTTCTTTTGGGTTTTCATCCACACCGGGCTTTTTCGTATTTTTGGCTTTTTTTAACACTGCTTCTAGTTCTATCATCATTTCCTGTACTCTACTTGGTTCAGGAACACCCAACAAAAGATGGATTGCTCAGGAACATCTTGAGCAATAATCACCAGATCTGCCTTTTCTTTAACAAGAATAGGCACCAGACCTACTATCCTGCGGTTCATGATGATGATGATGGAGAGAATTAAGGCTCCGAAGTTAATACTGTATCAAAAATGCTCTAACATTTAAGTGTTATGTGAACCGTTACAAAACTTTTTATTTTAACAATTAATTTTGCATTTTTGTCTCCACATAGTATCCAGTGATAATTTTTATTCTTAAAATCTTATTCCATCTGTATCATCATCGAAGTATCATAACCATACCAAACCTAATATGTTTTATAAGAGATAAATTATCACATAGTTCATAAATGGACCAATCATTTCTAGGTATCAGGGCCGTGATATCATCTAAAAGTTCAGATAAATACTGCTGCAACGAACGAAGAACATTTCCATGATTTATCATTCAAACACTTTCGCATTCATATTTCTGAAGTACACTTTTCGATTTGAGGAGACAAATATGTATATTAATTGAAATTCCAAGAAAAATATGTCACGTTAAGAACAGAAGAAGCAATAAAATATGAATAATAACCTAACTATAATGGAAATATGATGCTTTACTTCAAAATACAGTAATACTCTGTATAAAATCATGAAAATTGTGTTAGTTTGAGTGTTTCGTGGACATTTGATTATTAGCATATTGTCAAGAGCATAATTAAAAATATAATTTTTCGTAAACTTCTGGGCCTTAATGATGATATCGACTATTCTTGGAGTGTTTTATCATTGAAAAGTCATCAACAATTTTGTTCCTTTACCTATACAGTAAAGGTTTTTGATATTTAACCCCAGATCTTTCTAAAATTCTTACTGTTTTCATCAATATTGATATTTTATTCTATTAACCAAGGCAGAATGAACTCTTTCTTCTGGTAAGACCTTCATCTTGTTTACTTTGCTACTATCAAAGACCTTTCTTTGATCACTAAAAATTGAGCTCAATTTGCTGTTTGTTGAAATTTTCATTTTAGTTAGATGTTTGATAGTGAATCTATCCAAGACTTCCTGGTCGTGAAACTGTTTTTTTCTTCTATTTTGATGATCTCCCTTTCTAGCCTTTGGTCCTTTGTTATAGTCTGTCTGTAATAGCAATCACCGTAATTCTGTAATAGTTTGAACAATTCAGCTTCCTACAATGCTATGTAATTCAGCCTCCTGTGTGTTTTATAGATGGAATTAATCCATTCAGTCTTTTGTTTTTAAGATGCACTATATTTCAATCTTCTTGCCTCCAGGAATAGACTAGTGCCTGTTCAAGCTTCTCCACTCATCTTCCCAGTCTCCTAAGATATGTATGCCATTTGTCTCTGTTACCTTTGATCGAGGATGTTAACGAAATTATATTTAGTTCTTTCCTTATGTCATAATTTTTTTCCTTTTCACTTTAGAACAATGCGGTTTAATATAGAAATTCATTTTATGTTATGACAAAATTATATACTTTTATAATATTGTAATTTATTATTATTATTATTATTATTATTATTATTATTATTATTATTATTATTATTATTATTATTATTTATTAATTAATTAATGGTGGCAACGAGCTTTTGTATATATGTCTCTCTCTCTCTCTCAATCTCTCTATCTCTCTCTCACTCTCTCTCCTGTTCTAATGTTAGAAGGGATATTTCTCTGCATCTTCCTTCATAATTCAATTGACGTAGTTCTCTAGAGATCTTGGTGATCTGCCTTTGTGTTTTTTTAATATGTTTTTATCTTTTTGATAATAAGGGGACTAAACCACATTAGTATATTCTAGTATAGATAATGTCCTGTACATCAGTTTTATCACAGATGGGCACAATGTAGAGAATGCCTTTTTGTGTAGATATATTAACTTACTGGCTCTTTTGGTAAGAGCAGCAACTTGGTTATCCCATTTCAAATTTAGAGTGGTAAGAACACTGAGATCATTTTGTCCTAACATAGAATTGAGGATATAACGTTCAATGCTATAATTAAGATATGGGTTAATTTTTGCTAGATGGAGGACTGTACGCTTATTGGGGTTAAAAGGCAGCAATGAAGATACCGACCATCACCACTTTGTTGAGGTCATTTTGTAACATTGGTAGTTTTTAGTGGATTTGAGAAACGTTTGGATTTTCACCTAGCTCGCAAGTGTATAGGTTGAAAAGTATCTGGCCTAGAGCTGAACGTTGTCGACACCACTTGTAACGGCACAAGGTCTCGACAGTGTTTCCATCGCCACCTAAAATGTTCTGTGCAATAAATATTCCTTAATCAATAGTTTACCTCATATACCCAAAGATGAGAGTTTGTGAATGAGAGATTTATGTGGTACTTTATCGACAGCTTTAGAATAATCTAGATAAATGACTTTTTGTCTCCTTACTTGAAAACTGGTGTGATGACAGCTTTTTCCACGCAAAGGGAAACTTCCCTGATTTTAATGATTGTTTCAATATTCTGTACAGTAAAGGGGCTAGTTGTAGTTTACAATTTTTCAGATACACGGTTGGAATACCATCAGGACCAGGGGATGAGCTTGCATTCAGTCCGCACATAACCTGGGCAGTTTCGATGTTTGAAAATTCAATATATTCAATAATTCCGGTACATTTCTCAATAATTGGCAATGGGCCTTTTGGTTCAACAGTATATATGTTTTCAAAATCATTTGAAAAGCATTCCGCAATTTCATTTGGATCAGATATCACAGAATCTCCATTCAGAACAATCGGAGGACCAGTTTTACAGTTAGTATGTCTTTGTTTTTAGGAGAAGAATCTTTTGCCACCATCCTCAACAGTTTGCTCTTCGTGTTTTTGTTTACGCTGTCTCCCATTAGCGGTGAGATTGTTCTTGTAGATGGTGTAACTTTCATCTGTTCTATAATTTGTCCATTCTTGACGTTTGAGTCTGCTTTGTTTTATGTTCTCATGATTAATCCAAGGTTTATTTAAATTTATTCTATTCTTGACTGAGTATTTAAAGGATCCTTAGATGTTTCACAAAAATTCTCATTGTTAGTT